TATCAATGCCTATGTGATAAAGGCATGTTTTATGCATATGAACACGTCCTAGCCTTAGTTATGGAATGATACATCTAAGCAACTGCTTTGGCGTCCAAATCTCTCAGATATTAAGTGCATCACCTAATCAAACCATGCTCGGCTGCCATCCCTTCCTATGAACTGCACATGGCATCTGTTCTATGGCACTGGCTGGTTAAGGCTATGGCTTGGTTACATTGTCTATGGTAGTGTGATTGAGTAATAAGTGGCAACATAAATGTTGCTAACCTTGTGTTTTAGTAACATACATATGAACAAGTATCAAACATGTCATGTGCTCTGTTTTAGACTTGTCTTCCAGGAAAAACAGTTGTCAGAAGTTGAGGCTCTTTGCTGTTTACGGCATCCTGATTAACTACCAGTGGCTGAAATTTTTTAAATTTCAACTGTAACTGCAGCGTATAAGCAAGCTGGCCAGGAAATATCTGCAGACTACTAAACAGATAACAACAAACAAAAATATCCAAATCAATGAATAGTTAGCAGATTTGTAATCAAACATCATACCGACATCTAAATAAATTTAGGATCACTATAGTCAAATCCTGGAATCTTGTCAGATCTTGTTTCTTAATAACTTTAGGCCTTTTTACTGTTACATGGAGACTGATGGATAATATTTAATATTTTTTACATACAAGGGTTTAAAATGGATATTACCTAAATCACCAATGCTGAAATAATTCAACAATATATCTCCTAAAAAAAAAAACAATGAACATTTTCTCTCATTTTCTTAGTTTCAATCAGAATTATTGAAAGAAAAAAATTAAATTCAAGTAAAATTTGAGAATAATCATGTTTGTTTAAAAAAAAAAGACATCAATAAAGTTAAATCTCAGTAAAATTATATCTTGTTACAGACTAAACCAACATTAAAATAGCCAGTAGTCAGATAAAATTGCTTTGTGGCGTGGGCCTTCCAGCAAAGCAGCCTTTTGCTAAAAGAACATTAGGTAAGAACATGTTTACAAAGTCCCAAAAATCTTCTCATAGCTCGATAAGATTTTCCTAACAAAAGGTATTATTAGTTTAATTATCTCACTAACAACTCACTTCCCGGCATATATTGTTAGGAAAGATATTTTAGGTATCAATGTCAATAAAGGGACAGCTTAATTATAATTAAAAAAAAATCATAACGTGAAAATAAAAAAAAAATTTAGTGTACTAAGATTGATTTAATTTAATTAAATCATTTTGTGAAAGTTACTGCAGTTGAGATATTATAAGTTACATGTCATCTTTATAAATATATTTTCGTAAATCAATTAAATTAGAATTTGATTTTTAATTCCAGTACTTAGTTACCGACATACTGTTCTGTACATTAAAGGCAATATCAAATGGATTATTCCTTTCATTTGTAGATTATGTAAATTAGAATGTAAATGATATATTAATACTTATAAATTATTCAAGTTTAATTCAAATGAGATTTTAATTTGACTCTATTATTATCGAATTAAGTTTAAATTTAAGTAGTTTGATATATCAATCAAGTTGAGTTTAAATATTTTTATATTTAATTTGAATAGTTCACGAATCTAATCGAAATTTTATATTTTAATATATTTTAATTAATAAAAAATCTCAAACTTGAGCTCAAGTTAAAGTATAAATAATCGAATTTTTATTAAATATAAAAGTCAAAATTATGTTTACATGTTAGTAAAGTTTAATCGAACGAACTCGAATAATTTAATTTTTGTTTTAATTTAAGCTCGAACTAAAAAAATTAAATTCAATCAAACTCAAATTAAATTTCGAATCTCAAATTTGAAGTCAAATTTAAATTTAAATTTAATATTATATGAACTTGAACTTGATCGATTATACTTTTAATCCCATCCAATCATCATTTTTATCTGTAATAAAAATATAAATAATCGAATTTTTATTAAATATAAAAGTCAAAATTATGTTTACATGTTAGTAAAGTTTAATCGAACGAACTCGAATAATTTAATTTTTGTTTTAATTTAAGCTCGAACTAAAAAAATTAAATTCAATCAAATTCGAATTAAATTTCGAATCTCAAATTTGAAATCAAATTTAAATTTAAATTTAATATTATATGAACTTGAACTTGATCGATTATACTTTTAATCCCATCCAATCATCATTTTTATCTGTAATAAAAAATTTCCACATGATAGATATAAGATTTTACATATTCTTTTCAGGACATCACTAAATTCAATACTTGCATATGAAGTCCACTCTCTTGTTATAGAATTGAGAGGGAGACTAAGTATTGAAAACAACAAAAAAAATTCTGACTATTAACTATAGCCTGACTCTTTTCCTCCACTGGAATGCGCAGTTTGGCATCTTGTGGCATGTTCAGTTCTCTGGTTTTCACTGTTCCCAATACAACTTCAACTTTGGATGGGAAAGATTTAGATCTTTTGCCCTTTAGTTTGAACAAAAAATCCTAGGATCATAAAGATCCCTGTTGAAAGGATTTGAATGGCATGTTTTGACACTTTTAACCATTCCTAAGGTAAAAAAATCAATAAAACAAAAACTAATGTTTTATCATCCAATTTTATTGTTTCTAGACTCTAGGCATATATTGGCCTTTTTCTGTGGAAAACAACATTTCAGTCAATTGTGTTTTCTGGCCTTTCTGTCAGTAATCTTATTAGGTATTTATCAAATCATTGATGGTGATAATCTTTTTTTTAATAGAAACTTATGATAGGCTGTTTGGCCTTTTAACTTTTTTTCTTTTTCCAAAATAATTTGACCTTGTCGATAACTTCATGCATTTATCAAATCAATGAAGATTAAAGAAACTGAGGGGCTCCTTGAGGGTTGGTTATGATCGAATACTTCACTTGGTAGATTTAGGTTTGATTTCTGTTGCCAACAGTCTTCTTTGGTGGACTTATGTAAGTTTAATTAAATATTCTGGGAGACCTACCTAATCTTGAAATGAAAAAGCCTCTCCTCACCTTAATTTTTTATGTAAAAAAAAAAACTTATGGGCTATTTAAAGTTGGTTAGCAACAGTTTTATTTTATTCTTCTGTTTTTATATCAATTATAATCTATTCAAATATTGGAAAATACTGATAAATTTGGAGTAGTTGAAATATTAAAGCAAGTCAAACTTTATTATTCTGCTTAGATGTCATATTATTGGGTCTTGAACTTCGTTATTGAGTGAGTGGCTAATATGGTCAAACGTAAAAGGGTTTTGCTTGATACAACTTTGTAAGCCGAGTGTGAGGCTATGGTGGTTGAATGTTATCAAATTAAATTGCTTTGTTTGTGAGTTTTGTTGTCTACAGAAGGCCTGATGTTAGAGGTCTAATATTATGGTTAAGGATGTAGCCATTGACTTGAGAGGTAGCAGTAGTACCAAGGTTATTTCCTAAATGTTGATACTGATATATATAGGCAATGCTTGTTGAATACTTCTGACTCTTCAGAATTGACTTTCCCAGGTTCATCTGCATTTTAGACCTTCTGCCAGCAAAATTAAAATAAACAAAAGATATATATATATATATATATTTATAAGTGAAGCAAGATCAATTGATCCCAAGTAAAAGTTTGAACAGCAGTGCTAATTCCCTTGAGGCCCTGAGTATCTTAAGTCTTTAGTTGTTTGGTTTGGCTCCCTGGATATATTTCTCAACTGATCATTCAGCCTAGAATAAAATGGGAGACTTATCAGAATTTGAACTCTGGACTATCTAACAAAGGATATTACATATGTATCAATGGATGGTCGGCTCAAGTGAAAAAAACAGAATGCACCTTTCTTTGTTATTTGGATTCAAATTCGTTAGATCTGACATAAATAAATTTATTTGGACTGACAGGAAAGGATGTACCGGACAAAGCTTAGCAACCCCTTGCTTCTTAAAAAAAAAAAATTACATTTGCTTAATTTAAAAGTTTTAGTATATTAGCTGATGAAGACACAGCTATGTGTCTTTGCACACTTTCAATGCATATTCTTGAAATTAATATCAGACAACAATCTTAGATCAATATTGAAAAATTACTCTATCATTTCCTATTTTCCTTGCACAAATGGGTTCTTTACTTGCACTCAATAATCTGCCTTTGTTATAAAGAAAAATAAAGTTTGAGTCCTTTTCTGGTGCTTGAATTCTGGACAAATACATTTCATATATGTAATTCTACTTCATTAAGTCAAAACACATGCTTTTTTTCTCTTGTTAATGCTTGAATGCCATACTAATAAGGTGTCAAAGCTTTAATAATCTTACCTTATGTTTGGATTGAAGGGAAGGGAAGGAAAAGAAAGGAAAATAAAAGAAAGTAATGAAAACAGAAAAATTCTTCATTTGTTTAGATAAATTTTTAATTTTTTTTAAAAAAAGAAAAAGGTGAAAATTCAATAATGGTTTTTCTTGTAATTCTCATTTTTATAATACCCCAATTTAAAAAAAAAAAAGTTAAGGAAAGAAAAGTTGAAAAAAAATTATTTTTATAAAAACCTATTACATCCATAATTTATTTATGACATTAGATTTGAATATATAACAGACACTTCTTATAAAAATAATTTTTTTATAATTATTTTATATAATTTCACAGTTTATAAATATTTTATGATTTTTTAAGTCTTAACAATAAAACAAACTAAATTATTGTCAAAATAAATTAAAATGTGAATTACACACAAAATTAAAAATAAATCAATAACTAACTAATACATCTTATCTTATTAAACATGTTCAATTTTGTTTAAAAAAATTTATTTATACAAATTAAATAATATAAAGATATATTTATATATTATATGTTATTTTATAAAAAAAGTTATAATTAAAAAAATTATAATAAATTATTTTTTTATATTTATCTAAATAATAGCCGTTAAAATTCTTTTTTTTTTTAACTATTCAAACAAAAGATAAATATACCATTTTCTTTTCTTTAAAAAAAATTTTTTTTCTTTTTTTTTTCTTTCCTTTATTTATATATATCCAATCATAGCGTTAAAGTCTTCTCTTTTATCTTTTCTTTTCGTTTTATTTTGTTTGTTCACTAGTTGTGCAGACTAACTCAGAATAGGGAATATGAACACAAATGAACAGATGCTGACAATTTATTTATGAAAAAAAAGAAACCAAACTCATGTTAACACAGACTAGTTTAATTGTGCAGAGACTCAAAGCTGATTTACAGCTTTGTTTCTTTGTATTAATACTACAGAACCAAAACTTGGATAGCCACATCCTTTTTTGTGATTTTCTTCAATCCTTTTTTACAAAGTTGCACTTGAAGCAACAGATTCTTGAATCTAGTTTTGGTTTGATGGGTATAATAGCAAAACACAGTAACATTACAGATGCTCAAACCACCAAGTATCTTTGCCGAGCCAAACTTCTGAGGAAGAAAATGTAACTCCACTTTATATTTTCTGTTTTCATTAATTTCATCTAAACTTTCCCAGTCCATCGAATTTCTGACGATACTACCTATTGAGGAGACTGAGAATCAGATCCAAAAATCTCCTTCGAGAACCCAAGCCGACAGATTTTCTCTCGATAAGAGAAGTGGATCTTCTGTTTTGTTTTTATTTTTTGCATTTAGATATGTTGATGGTAGAGAGAATTTTGTCATACATCACAACCTAATCCCCTGGCTTATGATCCTTTCATGATTCTTAGTCTGTTGCATGATGTGATGAACATTCTGCAATAAGATAACCTTGTAAGTTACAGAAAATATAAATATAGGATGAATAGCATAGCGAGAAAGAGAAGAAGAGAGAGACTTACTCCCATGGAACATCTCCAACTAGCATCCAGTCTCCGTCCTTGTCTTCATAAGTAGGTGCATAATCTGATCCTTGGTAGCCTTCTCTTTCTGAGTACTCACCTGAAAAAGGTGGAATCCAAGGTCATTTCACCAAAGTCATCATAAAATTCATCACCATTTCGCAGAAAATCACATATATATGCCATAATATGACAACAAAATAACGGTAATAATCCATATTCTTACCTATGGTGAACTTGAACATGTTCTCCAAAGCCTGCAGGAGCATCGGGTAGCCAGTGTAAACTTTCAGGTCAATCTTTCTTAGGTATGGTGCTCCATCCATGCTTACTTTCACGTAAATCCCAGGACCCTCAGACTCACTTTTCTTTGCCTGAAAGTTATTCTTTCTATAGGACCTGATCGGTGGCCACCCCACAATTTGTGCTCTGCATGTTGCATATTCTTCAAAAGAATCCATTAGTTTCTATGTAATTTTAAAGTAAATCAAATAAGCAAAGAAGATCACCCTCTTAAGGCCAATTTATTTTGTAATACCACTTGTTATGATAACTTACTTCGCAGGAGGGGTAGTTTCATTTTGACTATCAGATTTGCCATTTACTCCACATTCCTCATCAGAGTCTTGCAATGGTCGCTTGTTTCTAACATTAGAAACTGCTTGTTCCTCTCTTTCATCTGTTCCTGGCAAAGCTAATCTTAGTTCAGTTGCCTTGAGGTTTAGATCATTCTCATATGCCACGCTGCCTTCCATTTTTCAAAGATCTTCACTCAGATGATCCACCAAAGCAGCTTGTATAACAAACCAAAGTTCCTTCTAATTCAATGTAGAGGTGAATGCAAGCTGATTTTATCTAAGATCTATTTTCAGTAAAGTTTCTGTAGTTCCTTTGAGGATGCACAAAGTTTGAGAGAAAATGAAAATGTTTTTGAGTTTTTGGTTGAAACGGGAGTGCAGAAGTAGGTATTTTATAGGAAATGGTGGAAGTCGTAAAGAAGAAGGGTGGTCTATGGGTGGATTAAGAGTAATGATAAAGCCTTGTTATTCTCCCAAAGCATGAATTATGGACAAAGGCAAGCTAAGCTGTCGGTAGCAATAGCGGCAACTTTGAGGCAAGCTGCCCCTGGGATAGGGGGACAAGGGTGGGACAAGCTCAGCCGCCTATATGGAAGACCTTGCTGCTTCAGTGGGACGGTCAAGATGCGTTTTGGGGGGTTGTGGGACGGAAATCAGGGGCGTTGGTTTATCTTTAAATGAAAGAAAAGCTAGGCGGCATATCCCCTGTGAAAAGGGTCCATATGGGGTTGTAGGGTATGGGCACAGATGGCCATGTGGGGCTAGAATTTGGCAGGGTTTTTCAATTTGATTAATGGATCGTGGGGTTCATTTCATGTGGGCTGTCATGTGTGCAGGTAAGTTCAGCCCCTGAATTATTCCTATTCGTAGTTAAACTTCAAACAAGAAAAGAAATCAATTAAAATGCATTACATTGTTAATTACTAGTATTTACTTATATACATCTCTGTTAGCCATTCTAACCAAGGAAAATAAGTTCATTGGACCCAGCCTGTCTGTAGTATTCCAAGATCCAAATCTTGCCGTTTCTGTCATTTTCTTTGATCTTTAGTTGTTTGATCTTTTAGGAAAGACCACCAGGATTAGTAAAATTAATTATTTTCCTAAACATCAAAGCCTCCATTAATGTTTATATCTGGATCTGTTCCAGTTTAAGAGGGGAATAAGAAAATCTTCAATAATTTGGTGTAGTTAATAATATGCTTCTCTGATTTCAACCTTTTCCCATCCTAGACCTAAAACTTTTCACTAGAATCATTAATCTAAGGAGATTAAAAGGTTTAATTTTAGTATATATGCTTTTTTTTTTTAATTACAACTTAGAAATAAAAGAAGATGTTATAAATGTTGAGATTTGAATTAATTTATTAAATATCATTTTTTTTTTTAAAATGATTGTATCAATCAAATTAAATTTTGGTTTCTGATATATATTTTGATACTTGGGCTGTTCTAGTATTTGTTTGCTTTATTTTCTCTAGTCTGCAGATCATCATTTAGGATTTTAGGTTGAACTTTTCAATAGAGGTACTCATTCCAATGGTTTGTTAGTCTAGTGTTGCCTAACCACCTAAGTGCTATAATTTCACCTTGATTATATCTTTTTTAGAAACATGTGTTGAGTTTCCAAGGTTAAAGAAAGCTGCAAAGCAATTAAAGCAGAAAACTGGTAATTAATAACAATATTAAGAAAATAGTAGATTGATGAGGACCAGAACAAACTGTAGAAGGAACTAGATATGAAACATGGGTACAAATCATGGGACACTGCCCATTTATTTTCCGAGGATGAGTCCCACATTGTCCTCTGGTCTGAATAATCTCCATTGGATGCTCAATTGACGCAAAGATAGGCATTCAAAATGATCAACATCAGGGTCCATTTCAGCCTCACCCGTGCTCATTAAAAAGCTGTTTGATCATTAATATTCTTGTTCTGCTACAGCCATACACATACCATCCAACGCCTAATATTTGATAGACTCTCTTGCGGAAATCTCTTTTTTCCTGTAGCAAACATGAGCGAATTTACCATGCCGAGCACGGCCATTTTCATCTGTTTGCTCATATCCATTTCACCCAGAAAAGTCATAGCTTTAAATCTGAAAAGGGGTTCTGTTACAACTTTAAGGAATCCAACAAGTTTTAGTACGAATGTTTGAGCTGTTACGCTGTCTTTGGCCATGGCATGGATCACACAGTTTTGTCATTATTGCTCAAGGAATGCAACGATAGCTACAGGAACTAAAAATCTTTCAAGGGTTAGTTAAAACTTGTGGCGTCTGGCCAAGTGACCATTGCCAAAATGAAAGCCGTATCTGATTCAGCTTTTGCATATTTGTGGTGCCCCGAGAAACATTCAATTAGAAATTCCCCTACAGGGATAGCGATGCATAACAAATACGAATCAAGGTTATGGTCTATCTTGCAGAATTTGATCCACTAAAATTTTCCAGGTTGGATATGCATTGAAATATGACTCATCAAAGGAGTTGAGAATTGAACGCTTAATTGGAATTGGCAAGTTATCGTCGGCAAAGATTTGACTGTGTACTAATTCCTACACATGATATGCATTATTTGGCGTTGCTGGTACATGAAGATTCTGGTTCGTGTCTGGTTCTAAGATTGGAGACGTGCATCGATAGTGAATCAAATTTATTGCAGAAAGCATTGGCATGGTTTTTGCACGTGTTTATTTGTCTATGCCTATCCAATTTGCCTAACTTAAAAAGGATAAAATTGGAAACAAAAATACAGAATAATGTATTAGGTTAAAAGCCTCCAATTCAATCATACCAACGGAAGTGAAATCAAATAATAAATCAGACACATAAAAGACAATAATTTAACGTGATTTAGTCCAACTGACCTATATCCACGGATGAGAAACAAGATCCACTAGTTGTAGAGAATTACAAACATACATCATATCATCAACCTCACTTAACAATCAATATTTATAAAATACTCTCAATCTCTTCTAGTCTTATGAAGTATTCTCAACCCAAACAAACACAAACTCAAATTCTTGTGCACCTTTTCAACATAACCAAACACATACCCATATACTCTCATACACCATACCTATATGGACCCTCTCAATCTCTTCTAGTCCACTCACAAACAAACATACACACCCATAAGACGTAGAGTCCCAATACTTGTCTATCCCACAAAATCCTATAACTCTCTTACATCTTTTTCTCGTACCTAACCCTATAGAGACTTCACCTATTTATAATCATACAAACTTACCCATTAAGAATCCTTCTCCTCTTAGAATTCTTCTCCTGTAAGTCAAACTTGACTATTAAGAATCCCTTTCCTTTTAGAATTTTTCTCTTGTAAATCAAATTTACCTATTAAGAATCATCTTTCTCTTGGAATTCTTCTTTTGTAAGTCTTTTTGTCCATTAAGTAATATCTGACAAATCTCTAACAAATCTCAAACAAATATCTTATGAAATTTGAGTCAATATTCTCAACATAATGAACACATGTGAAATTGAATTGAATTCAAACCATTTTTTCTTTTTGATACTTGAAACTGTTAGAATAGAATTTTGGTTACTGGAATAAGAGTATAACATTCTAACAACAACGGCCCAGGTGTCGGTAAATTCAAGCCACTTTGATATCAAACCGGACATAAGATTTGCTTCAATCAGATTAACCCTTTGTCCTATTAGGCTAAATACACTGATTAAAGGTTGGTAGAACTTTAAAAAAAAAAAAAGTTGCATCCATTATTGACTAGGGGTTTTCTGCAAATCAAATTCAGCGTCGGTCTTCAAGTTTCTGATCAGTTTCAGTTGAAGAAAACGCGTGTTGAAAAATTCATGAGACGAACACATTCTTTTGCTCATAATAAGCATGCAAGCATGTTACAGGAATGAACTTGAAATGGCAATATATCTTCTTATCAGTAAAGAAACTTAAAGTAGAATATTTCAATTTCGGCAGCCAAAATTAACAAAAACACACGATTCAAATGTGCAATCATATCAATTCTCTAATCATTTTCAACACTTTGATTACTAGGTATCTATTTTTGTTGTCACCAACGCAAACATTTTGGCCCCTTTTACAGGTCATCAAAGCTTGGATCTATTTCTTTGTACTTTGCTTTAGCCAAATCGGTGTTGGACTGCTCTCTGATACCCTTTTTTTTTATCCTAAACTCCTGTTCACGTTATAGCAGAACTAAAAAGATACCGACATTAGACATGCCAGGGTCCGTTTCAAAGCTAGGCTGGAGCAATAAAGGAGAGTTTCCAGGCTGTAGAGAGCCACGAGTATGGAAACAAAAAAAAAAAACAAGGAAAAATACAATTTAGATGAGAATCAGTGTTCTCAAACAGGCCAGTATGCCAACACAGAAACGAAACCTGACCCCTACTAAAGGAATCCCCAGACCTTAATATGAAGGGCACTGAACTAGACTAAATTGGGGGGGGGGGGGGGTGCCAAAATTGGAGGGCACCTATCCCTTTGCATCAAATCAGAGGGGATTCACTCACTGACTTTTGTTTGGGACCACTTTCAAGGCAAATTAAGGGTCCACCAATTCTTCTGCTGCAATACGCACCTCCACCTCTGATATCTTTCAATAATTATATAAAATTTTTTTTGGACCAAACCGTGTGTTTTTCACAACATGTACCCACTCCACCCACCTCCTCTTTCAATTCCTCATGTGCTTGTGGTGTACATGTCTTGATAATGTTATTGAAAGCTAAATTCAATAAATGATTTTTTTTATTTTTTGTGTGAATTAATTGTTTCATAACACCTTAAAACAGAAACAACAGGCATTTGGGATTTTATGGATTAATTGCTATTCGTGTGCATGAGTTCTTTGAAAATCTATTGTGTAATAAAGTTGAATGAATTGTCAATGTTTGGAGGTCATGATGTTCTGCTAGAAAACAATCGATTTGCTGGTGGCAGCAGAGACATTGGGGGGTAAATTAAGTTTGGTTCTTATCTTTTGGTGAACTGACTTGCACATGGTCTAGCTTGAGAAACAATTGTGAAATTGAGTCCTGCTTCATTGTAAAGATGACATGATTTGATTTTTCAAAATGATTACTTTTTGCTGCAATCGAAGTTTATACATGAACTTAACCAAAATCTTTGATATGGTATTGTATCTGGAAGTGTAAAACCAAATACCATAGTTATATAATTAGATCAATTTTATAATTAAATTATTTTAAATTATTGTAAAATGACAGTTTATATAAATAAATAAATCGGACGATTTTTGTAGCACCGAATTGATTTAATGCAAACTAATAAATTTAGGTAAAATATTAAAAGAAAAATCTTCAAGTATTCAAAATAATTTAATTAAGCCATTATACTACTATTTCATATAAATAAGCCCCTTAATTTTTATTTTCTAGTATCAA